TAGACTATAGACTAGACTATAGACTAGGACTATAGACTAGGACTATAGACTAGACTATAGACTAGACTAGACTAGATCTATAGACCTAACTATAGAAAACTAGACTATAGACTAGACTATAGACTAGACTATAGACTAGACTATAGACTAGACTATAGACTAGACTAATAGACTAGACTATAGACTAGACTATAGAACTAGACTATAGACTAGACTATAGACTAGACTATAGACTAGACTATAGAACTAGACTATAGACTAGAACTATAGACCTAGACTATAGACTAGACTATAGACTAGACTATAGACTAGACTATAGACTAAGACTATAGACTAGACTATAGACTAAGACTATAGACTAGACTATAGACTAGACTATAGACTAGACTATAGACTAGACTATAGACTAGACTATAGACTAGACTATAGACTAGACTATAGACTAGACTATAGACTAGACTATAGACTAGACTATAGACTAGACTATAGACTAGACTATAGACTAGACTATAGACTAGACTATAGACTAGACTATAGACTAGACTATAGACTAGACTATAGACTAGACTATAGACTAGACTATAGACTAGACTATAGACTAGACTATAGACTAGACTATAGACTAGACTATAGACTAGACTATAGACTAGACTATAGACTAGACTATAGACTAGACTATAGACTAGACTATAGACTAGACTATAGACTAGACTATAGACTAGACTATAGACTAGACTATAGACTAGACTATAGACTAGACTATAGACTAGACTATAGACTAGACTATAGACTAGACCTATAGACTAGACTATAGACTAGACTATAGACTAGACTATAGACTAGACTATGACTAGACTATAGACTAGACTATAGACTAGGACTATAGACTAGACTATAGACTAGACTATAGACTAGACTATAGACTAGACTATAGACTAGACTATAGACTAGACTATAGACTAGACTATAGACTAGACTATAGACTAGACTATAGACTGACTATAGACTAGACTATAGACTAGACTATAGGACTAGACTATAGACTAGACTATAGACTAGACTATAGACTAGGACTATAGACTAGACTATAGACTAGACTATAGACTTAGACTATAGACTAGACTATAGACCTGACTATAGACTAGACTATAGACTAGACTATAGGACTAGACTATAGACTAGACTATAGACTAGACTATAGACTAGACTATAGACTAGACTATAGACTAGACTATAGACTAGACTAGACTAGACTATAGACTAGACTATAGACTAGACTATAGACTAGACTATAGACTAGACTATAGACTAGACTATAGACTAGACTATAGACTAGACTATAGACTAGACTATAGACTAGACTATAGACTAGACTATAGACTAGACTATAGACTAGACTATAGACTAGACTATAGACTAGACTATAGACTAGACTATAGACTAGACTATAGACTAGACTATAGACTAGACTATAGACTAGACTATAGACTAGCCTATAGACTAGACTATAGACTAGACTATAGACTACTATAGACTAGACTATAGACTAGACTATAGACTAGACTATAGACTAGACTATAGACTAGACTATAGACTAGACTATAGACTAGACTATAGACTAGACTATAGACTAGACTATAGACTAGACTATAGACTAGACTATAGACTAGACTATAGACTAGACTATAGACTAGACTATAGACTAGACTATAGACTAGACTATAGACTAGACTAGACTAGACTATAGACTAGACTATAGACTAGACTATAGACTAGACTATAGACTAGACTATAGACTAGACTATAGACTAGACTATAGACTAGACTATAGACTAGACTATAGACTAGACTATAGACTAGACTATAGACTAGACTATAGACTAGACTATAGACTAGACTATAGACTAGACTATAGACTAGACTAGACTATAGACTAGACTATAGACTAGACTATAGACTAGACTATAGACTAGACTATAGACTACACTATAGACTACACTATAGACTACACTATAGACTACACTATAGACTACACTATAGACTACACTATAGACTACACTATAGACTACACTATAGACTACACTATAGACTAGATTATAGACTACACTATAGACTAGATTATAGACTAGACTATAGACTAGACTATAGACTAGACTATAGACTAGACTATAGACTAGACTATAGACTAGACTATAGACTACACTATAGACTAGACTGTAGACTAAACTATAGACTAGACTATAGACTAAACTATAGATTAAATTATAGACTAAACTACAGACTAGACTATAGACTAGACTATAGACTACACTATAGACTACACTATAGACTACACTATAGACTACACTATAGACTACACTATAGACTAGATTATAGACTACACTATAGACTAGATTATAGACTAGACTATAGACTAGACTATAGACTAGACTATAGACTAGACTATAGACTAGACTATAGACTAGACTATAGACTAGACTATAGACTAGACTATAGACTAGACTATAGACTAGACTATAGACTAGACTATAGACTAGACTATAGACTAGACTATAGACTAGACTATAGACTAGACTATAGACTAGACTATAGACTAGACTATAGACTAGACTATAGACTAGACTATAGACTAGACTATAGACTAGACTATAGACTAGACTATAGACTAGACTATAGACTAGACTATAGACTAGACTATAGACTAACTATAGACTAGACTATAGACTAGACTATAGACTAGACTAGACTAGACTATAGACTAGACTATAGACTAGACTATAGACTAGACTATAGACTAGACTATAGACTAGACTATAGACTAGACTATAGACTAGACTATAGACTAGACTATAGACTAGACTATAGACTAGACTATAGACTAGACTATAGACTAGACTATAGACTAGACTATAGACTAGACTATAGACTAGACTATAGACTAGACTATAGACTAGACTATAGACTAGACTATAGACTAGCCTATAGACTAGACTATAGACTAGACTATAGACTAGACTATAGACTAGACTATAGACTAGACTATAGACTAGACTATAGACTAGACTATAGACTAGACTATAGACTAGACTATAGACTAGACTATAGACTAGACTATAGACTAGACTATAGACTAGACTATAGACTAGACTATAGACTAGACTATAGACTAGACTATAGACTAGACTATAGACTAGACTATAGACTACACTATAGACTACACTATAGACTACACTATAGACTACACTATAGACTACACTATAGACTACACTATAGACTAGATTATAGACTACACTATAGACTAGATTATAGACTAGACTATAGACTAGACTATAGACTAGACTATAGACTAGACTATAGACTAGACTATAGACTAGACTATAGACTACACTATAGACTAGACTGTAGACTAAACTATAGACTAGACTATAGACTAAACTATAGATTAAATTATAGACTAAACTACAGACTAGACTATAGACTAGACTATAGACTACACTATAGACTACACTATAGACTACACTATAGACTACACTATAGACTACACTATAGACTACACTATAGACTAGATTATAGACTAGACTATAGACTAGACTATAGACTAGACTATAGACTAGACTATAGACTAGACTATAGACTAGACTATAGACTAGACTATAGACTAGACTATAGACTAGACTATAGACTAGACTATAGACTAGACTATAGACTAGACTATAGACTAGACTATAGACTAGACTATAGACTAGACTATAGACTAGACTATAGACTAGACTATAGACTAGACTATAGACTAGACTATAGACTAGACTATAGACTAGACTATAGACTAGACTATAGACTAGACTATAGACTAGACTATAGACTAGACTATAGACTAGACTATAGACTAGACTATAGACTAGACTATAGACTAGACTATAGACTAGACTATAGACTAGACTATAGACTAGACTATAGACTAGACTATAGACTAGACTATAGACTAGACTATAGACTAGACTATAGACTAGACTATAGACTAGACTATAGACTAGACTATAGACTAGACTATAGACTAGACTATAGACTAGACTATAGACTAGACTATAGACTAGACTATAGACTAGACTATAGACTAGACTATAGACTAGACTATAGACTAGACTATAGACTAGACTATAGACTAGACTATAGACTAGACTATAGACTAGACTATAGACTAGACTATAGACTAGACTATAGACTAGACTATAGACTAGACTATAGACTAGACTATAGACTAGACTATAGACTAGACTACAGACTACACTATAGACTAGACTGTAGACTAAACTATAGACTAGACTATAGACTAAACTATAGACTAGACTATAGACTAAACTATAGATTAAATTATAGACTAAACTATAGACTAAACTACAGACTAGACTATAGACTTCACTACAGGGTAGATTATAGACTGGACTATAGACTAGACTATGGAGTAGACTATAGAGCTTACTTTAGACTATGGACTAAACTATAGGCTAGATAATATACTATACTATAGACTATACAATAGACTATACTATTGACTAGATTATAGACTAAACTATATACTACACTATATACTAGACTATACACTAGACTATATTCTGGACTATAGACGGGCCTATAGACGGGCCTATAGACGAGCCTATAGACCAGTCCATAATTTCGAATTTGTACAGAATTCTCAAAATTTTTCCTTTATTATTTACCGTTTATGTTGAAATAATAATGAATTGTTCAAATGTTTTTATTGAAACTTAACAAATTTTCGATAGTTACGTTTTTTCGCAAATTTTTTAGTTTTATCAGAATTAAATAGTTCCAAATTAAAAACTACTTTTACCCGTTTTATATCATCCACTAACCATGTTGTTATTAATTCATATTCAGCATTCGGCCAAGGAAGATTTATGGGAACTGGAATCTCCTTCAAACCGGATAAATAAATGTCATGCTGGCTTAAAAAATAAAATTGTACAAAAAATTCAAACTCAATCTATAAGACAACTTACATTATAAGGACAGGTGTGATTTGTATTAATAAAGCGCACTATGGCCTTATAGAAACGCTCTAAAATCCGATTTTTGGCATAATTTTCCATAAATTCACAAATATCATAGGTGGCGTTAAATGTTAAGGGTATCTTAATGGACGATAAAACATTTACTTCCAATTGTATGTGACAATTTGTTACGGGCAGCTGTAGAAGTCTTAAAATCACATTGAATTCCTTGATACCATCACTGGTCAATTTAGAGCCACATGTCTCAAAATAACCAAATTTTGTATCTATAGCCTCACATTCCAAACTTGTGACTCTAGCAAAAGATTCTGTCAATGCCCCTTGAAGAAGAATGATTAAAGTTAGTATATTTAACAATATTGAAGTCATATTGTTAAGTTTGAAAATCTATTGACAACTGATTTGTTGAAACGTTTCAGAGCGTAACTATATGCTGTGGATTTTTTAATAATCTATCACTTTATTTAATTGAGGATGTTGAATAGATTTTGATTATAATTTTAATTGATATTTAGTTAAAAAAAAAGCTTTTAGAAACAACATGTTCATTGTAATTAAATGTTTAAATTGGAAATCAAATTGACGAAATCATATAACAGTCTATAAACTAGAAGATCAGCCCATAGATTATTTCATAGACTATTCCCTAGACTAATCAATTGACTACTTTATAGACTTTTCAATAGTCCAGATCATAGATCAAGTCCCTAGACTAGTGAATAGACTACATAATAGTCTAGACCGTAGACTATTTCATTTTCTAGTCATTTCTGTGTCATACACTAGTCTATACCCTAATAATTAAGACCTTTAATCCGAGATATTCTTCCGAGTTGTTTTATTTTTATTAATTACATATCAATCAAACTTTTCTAGCGGAAGCTATAACACTAACACGAGTCTTTTTATTCATAATCCAGATAAGTTTCAATGTATAATCACCAGATGGAAAAGTATAACCCCTATCGATATTATTAACGTTTAAATCTTTCACGTAAATGTCATGCTGAAATGATAAAAGAAAACTCAACAATTGATATCTCTTTAAAGAATTCTTTAAACTTACATTAAACGGACACGTATGATTGAAATTTGTATGTTTCACTATACTCGAAAAGAACCTCTGTAGGGCACGTATTTTATTGCGATTTTTTTGAAATTCACAAAAATCCCAGGTTTTATTGAATGTATGCTTTAAGGATTTCATATATAAACCAAAATGTAGAATACTATGCGTGATAGGTTTCTCCAACAGATGTAATTCATATTGAAATAATGAAATATTATTTTGATCTCTTATTGCTTCACACAAAACGATGTGACCGAAATTTTCATTGTCCACAGAACATTTTACCCAATTTAGGAGTATAGTGCAGGAGTACTAAGAAAGGATTAAAGGAAGCAATTATAATATATTTTTTGCAAAAGTTGTGCTAACTAACCGTTTTAGAGTATAAAAGTAAAATTGTAAAATATATGATTTTCTTTTCAATTTTAAACATTTCTCTCGCGTAATTAAATCTGAACTAATGTTTTCTATTTTATGAAATTAAAATTTTTATTAATAACAATATTGTTTAAATTAAATGTCTATATTTATATTTTAATGGTTTAGTATTTAGTTTAATCTAATATTAATCTAGCCCTCATCGTAATTAATTTTTGAAATTATTTAAAAACATACAGTGAAAATCAAAATTTTAACATAATTTTTGGTACAGAAATTGACATTGAATCAATGTCAGGTTAGGTGTAGAAAATAACATTGAATCGATGTCAGTTTTCCTATAGAAAATGTTATTGACTCGAACTCAGTTTTCAGATAGAAAATGCCATCAAATCAATGTATGTCTTCGTATAGAAAATGTCATCGAACTGATGTAAGTTTTCGTATAGAAAATGTCGTCGAATCGATGTATGCATTCGTATAGAAAACCTGACAACGAATCGATGTCTATTTTTGTATAGAAATGTCATCGAATCGATGTTTGTTTTCGTATAGAAAATGTCATCGAAAATATGACATCGAATCGATGTATGTTTTCGTACAAAAGAATGTCATCAAATCGATGTATGTTTTCGTACAAAAGAATGTCATCAAATCGATGTATGTTTTTGTTTAGAAAATGTCATCGAATCGATGTATGTTTTCGTATAGAAAATGTCATCGAATCGATGTAAGTTTTAGTATAGAAAATGTCATCAAATCGATGTATGTTTTCGTAAAGAAAATGTTATCGAATCGATGTATGTTTTCGTATAGAAAATATGACATCGAATCGATGTATGTTTTCGTCTAGAAAATATGACATCGAATCGATGTATGTTTTCGTATTGAAAGTGTTATTGAATCGATGTATGTTTTCGTATAGAAAATGTCATCGAATCGATGTATGTTTTCGTTTAGAACATGATATCGAATCGATGTATGTTTTCGTATTGAAAGTGTTATTGAATCGATGTATGTTTTCCTATAGAGAATGTCATCGAATCGATGTATGTTTTCGTTTAGAAAATGTCATCGAATCGATGTATGTTTTCGTATATAAAATGTCATCCAATCGATGTAAGTTTTCGTATGTAAAAAGTCATCGAATCGATGTATGTTTTCGTATGTAAAAAGTCATCGAATCGATGTATGTTTTCGTATAGAAAATGTAATCGAATCGATGTATGTTTTCGTATTGAAAATGTCTTCGAATCGATGTATGTTTTAGTATAGAAAATGTCATCAAATCGATGTAAGTTTTCGTATAGAAAATGTCATCGAATAGATGTATGTTTTCGAATAGAAAATATGACATCGAATCGATGTATGTTTTCGTACAGAAAATGTTATCAAATCGATGTATGTTTTTGTACAGAAAATGTCATCGAATCGATGTTTGTTTTCGTATAGAAAATGTCATCGAATCGATGTATGTTTTCGTATAGAAAATGTCATCGAATCGATGTAAGTTTTAGTATAGAAAATGTCATCAAATCGATGTATGTTTTCGTAAAGAAAATGTTATCGAATCGATGTATGTTTTCGTATAGAAAATATGACATCGAATCGATGTATGTTTTCGTCTAGAAAATATGACATCGAATCGATGTATGTTTTCGTATTCAAAGTGTTATTGAATCGATGTATGTTTTCGTATAGAAAATGTCATCGAATCGATGTATGTTTTCGTTTAGAACATGATATCGAATCGATGTATGTTTTCGTATTGAAAGTGTTATTGAATCGATGTATGTTTTCGTATAGAGAATGTCATCGAATCGATGTATGTTTTCGTTTAGAAAATGTCATCGAATCGATGTATGTTTTCGTATATAAAATGTCATCCAATCGATGTAAGTTTTCGTATGTAAAAAGTCATCGAATCGATGTATGTTTTCGTATGTAAAAAGTCATCGAATCGATGTATGTTTTCGTATGTAAAATGTCATCCAATCGATGTATGTTTTCGTATATAAAATGTCATCCAATCGATGTAAGTTTTCGTATGTAAAAAGTCATCGAATCGATGTATGTTTTCGTATGTAAAAAGTCATCGAATCGATGTATGTTTTCGTATGTAAAATGTTATCGAAATGAAGTACTTTTTAAGTTTTCGTGTACAAAATATGACATCGAATCGATTACAGTTTTCGTATAGAAATCAATTTTGGAATTAAATTGCACATTTTTTTTATCAATCTATTTCACTTTATTGATTTAATTTCTATTAAAATATCCCTTTTTCGAGGAATTATTATTATAAAACTCTATAATACCAGCTAAATTAAAGCGAATCTTTTTGTCTATAATCCATAATGACTGAAATGAATATGCACCACTGGGCCAGGGTATATTTACAGCAATAGGTATATGCTTAGAACTCTTAAAATAAACATCATGCTGAAATGATTTTAATTAGTTAAAATAATTTTATAGAAAAAACAATCTCATCTAAAGCTTACATCATAGGGACAAGCATGATTAGCATTCATATAACGTCTATAGATATCATAGAAACGTTTTAATACCCGATTTTTCTTACGTTCTAACATAAATTTACAAACATCATAGGTACCATTGAATTTTAAAGGAACCGTAAAGCTTTTAAGTTGAAATTGTAATTGCAGCAGACAATTGGTTATGGGACGTTTGGGAAAAAGTTTTAAAACTAAATGAAACTCTTCGATATTGTGAATGTTAGTGATATAGTCGCATTTATCTAAAAGGAAAAATTCCTTATCCATTAGACGACACTTGAGATCTTTTAGTATTATGCCCTTTTCGAAAAGAGCTGCCGTTAGATATTGCAGAAAGATGAGTAAATTTAGGAGATATTTTATTAACATTATTAAGGCTTGGAAGTTAAACATAGACTGTTGCGTGCAGAAATATAATTTAGAAAGTTTAAAACCAAATGCTTTCAAATATTTTATTTTAATTGAAATATTATTTAGATAATTTTAATTAAAAATCTATTTAAATTTACTATTATTAAGCCATAAATATTTGCCAAAATATTGGTGTAGTTAAAAAGTATTTTACAGTTTAACTGAAACTTTTCTTATATCCACTTATTTATTAAAATATTTGTACAATATGTTTAAGCCTTAAACTCTTCTTAACTTACAGCTCTAGACTAATATGTCTATATAAAGTGTGTAATAAATTTTTAGCTTCTAGTCATTCTCGTAAACTATTAAATTTAATAGTTTTTTTCTATTTTTTAAAAATTGCACTTTTTGCAATTTGTTGCTTCAGGTTTTTATAACATAATAATAAACATTATTTTTATGAGCGTATAATCAATATTTGCTTGTTCTAATGTCTAAAATACATAAATATGATCAAGATTAACTCTCTAGATATTGAAGGTAAAAAGATATTTGCTAGAGATTTGCCATGGATGTGATGGCGCAATCTAATTGTGATGGTTAAGACCCCTAAAGCGAAATGTTAGGAAATATACAAGATCGTTAAGAGAAGATAGTAGACAGAGAGAGATAAAGACAAAAAAAAAAAATATGTAATAGTTATAATAATTGTTTTTAAATGCATAAATAATTGCTGGTTGTAAATATAGAATTATAGAATTTGATTACAATAAAATATTTAAATAAAGAGTAACACAACTAAAAATGATCTGCAATATCTGACAGCTGTGATCTTAGAGAGTCCTTTTTTATAATTTCCAAATTTTCTGCTTTAATTCTTTTTTCAATTTATTTCAAAACCTCACACGCTTTTCTAGTTTAAATAATGTTTTTTTCTTAAACAACTGCCAATTAATCTTTTTTAAATTGTTTAATAATAAATGACATTAACATTTGCTAACGATTTTAGTTGTTAGATTTTTAAATGTTATTTTTTTTAATTGTTGTTGTACCTATTTTGTATTTTAAATAATTTGTTTGAACAGTGTTGATGTCATGATTATTTATTTTTTGAAATTAATAAAAAAAAACAATTTGCATTCAGTTTAATTTATAGACAAAAATATCAGTTAAAGTATAGACACGAAAAACAAAATTTTATAAAAATCTATCAGATTTTAACTCTTTAAAAAATTTTTGTATGGAAAGCCAGTGAAATATAGAATTTTTAATGAATTTTTCGAAAATTTTCGAATTTTTAAAAACTTATTTTAAGAGAATTAAAGGATTTTTGGTTAAAATATGGATTTTAAGTGAAACATCGCTTTTTTACTACAATATTTAGTGAAACATTGGATTTTAGGTGAAATTTGCTGAAAACTACTTTCTGGTGAAACGGTGGACTAAATGGAAAACAATGCATTGTTTGTGAAAATATAGATTTTTTAGTGAAATAGCGGATTTTAAGTGAAAAATCGCTTTTTTACTGCAATTTTTAGTGAAACATTGGATTTTAGGTGAAATTTAAAGTGAAACAGCGGACTTAAGGGAAAACTATTGTTTTTATTGAGAAAATTTAGATTTTTAGTGAAATAGCGGATTTTTAGTGAAAATATAGATTTTAAGTGAAAAAACGCATTTTTACTACAAAATTTTAGTGAAACATTAGATTTTAGATGAAATTTACTGAAAAACTAATTTTAAGTGAACCCGCGAACTTTAGGGAAAACTATTGCTTTTATTGCGAAAATTTTGATTTTTAGTGAAATAAAGGATTTTTAGTGAAAATATAAATTTTAAGTGAAATCACGCATTTTTACTACAAATTTTCACGAAACAATGGATTTTAGATTAAATTTACTGAAAAGCGAATTTTTAGTGAATATTCGTATTTTCAGTAAAATAGTGAATATTTAGTGAAACAGTGAATTTTTTGTGAAATAGTGAATTTCTAGTGGAAATTCAATTTGAAAAATGGAAAGCCAGCAAAATGTAGATTTTTAGTGAAGAAGTAGATTTTTAGTGAAAGTAAAGATTTTAGGCGAAAAATCGAATTTTTACTATAAATTTTTGTGAAACATTGGATTTTAGGTGAAATTTACTTGAATAATTAATTTTAAGTGAAACAGCGGACTTTAGGGAAAACTATTGTTTTTATAGTGAAAACTTACATATTTAGTGAAATAAAGGATTTTTAGTGAAAATATAGATTTTAAGTGAAAAAACGCATATTTACTACAAATTTTAGTGAAACAATGGATTTTAGATGAAATTTAGTGAAAAGCTAATTTTTAGTGAATATTCGTATTTTCAGTGAAATAGTGAGTATTTAGTGAAACAGTGAATTTTTAGTGAAACAGTGAATTTTTAGTGGAAATTCAATATGGAATAGGGAAAGTCAGTAAAATGTAGATTTTTAGTGAAGAAGTAGATTTTTAGTGAAATAGTGGATTTTTAGTGAAAGTAAAGAGTTTAGGCGAAAAATCGCATTTTTACTATAAATTTTTGTGAAACAATGGATTTTAGGTGAAATTTACTTGAATAATAAATTTTAAGTGAAACAGCGGACTTTAGGTGTTTTTATAGTGAAAATTTACATTTTTAGTGAAATGGCGGATTTTTAGTGAAAATGTAGATTTTAAGTGAAATAACGTATTTTTAGTACAAAATCTTAGTGAAATATCGGATTTTAGGTCAAATTTACTGATAAACTAATTTTAAGTGAAACAGAGGACTTTATGGAACATTAGTGAAATAGCGGATTTTTGGTGAAAATTTTGAAATTATGGTGAAAAATCGCTTATTTCATGAAAATTCATTATTTTTAAAACAGAAGATTTAGTGAAAAATGGGGCTTTTAAAAGTAATTCGACTTTTAAATACAGAGTGAATTTTAAGTGAAACTAACACGAATTGTAACAACAGAATTTTTAGTGGAAAATCGGATTTTTAGTAAAAAAAATCACAATTTTGTTGAAAAATTTAGTTTTTTTGTGAAAATTTAGATTTTTAGTGAATCATCGGATTTTTAGTGAAAATTAGAAAATTTTGGTGAAAAATCGCTTATTTGGTGAAAATTCATTATATTTTAAAACAGAAGTTTTAGTGCAAAATTGGACTTTTTAGAGAAATTCTACTTTTAAATACAAAGTGAATTTTAAGTGAAAAGTCATTTTATTAGTAACAATAGAGTTTTTAGTGAAAAATCGGATTTTTAGTAAAAAATCCAAATTTTGGTAAAAAATTTAGTTTTTAGTAGTTTTTTTAATGAAAATTTAGATTTTTAGTAAAATAGCGGATTTTTAGTGAAATTTTTTAAATTCTAGTGCAAAATGGGACTTTTAAGAGAAATTAGACTTTCAAATATAAAGTGAATTTTAAGTGAAAAGTCGTAAAATTTAATTTTTAGTAAAAAATCTAAATTTTAGTGAAAAATTTTGTTTTTAGTAGTTTGTTTTTAGCTATTTCACTAAAAAGCTTAATTTTCACTAGATTTTTATTGCGGATATTTAGTGAAAATTTAAAAATTTTGATGAAAAATCACTTATGTATATAAAACAGAAGTTTTAGTGATTAATGCGACTTTTAAGAAAAATTCGACTTTAAAATAAAAAGTGAAAAGTGGCGTTATTAGTAACAATTGAAATTTTAGTGAAATATTTGATTCTTGGTGAAAAATTGCTTTTTTTGTGAAAAATCTGATTTCTAGTAGAAAATCTAATTTTTGGTGAAAAATCGGTCAAAAAGAGCATTTTCAGTAAAAATTTAATTTTTGGTGAAAATTTGGATTTCTTACGAAAAAATGGACTTTAAACAGAAAATGACTTTTTTGGTGAAAATTTGTAATTTTCAGTGAAAAATCAAATTTTTGGTGAAAGTTTCACAATTTTTTTTTTTAATGAAAATCACTTTTTTAGTGAAATTATTCATTTTTTGTGTGAAAATTAGGGTTTTAAAGAGAAGTTGGGTTTTTAATAAAAATTTGTAATTTTCAGTGAAAAATCGACAAACATGGATAAAATAGGGATTTATTGGAGAAAATCGTCTTTTAAGTGAGAACTCAAATTTTTGGTGAAGTATAGTATTTATACTCCAATTAGGTGACATCTATCCATCGGTAACCCTATTCAAAATCCTTGATTTTTTTTAATACCATGATTATTTTTAATGAGAAAACAATTTCGTGTTCTCTCTTTATAATAAAATACATATAAGAGGATTAATTATTCAAATTCAAATTAAAAGGTGAATAAAACATATTTAGTTGTGTTTTATTGAAACCCAAAATAGCACAATTAATCTTTTTCCAAACAATTTTAACCAAACTAGTGGTTTTTCAGTTGATGTCATAACATTCTTAAGAAACAATAAAAACTGATTCAGCTGCTGTAAATCAATTTTTCTAAGTGTAATTTGTGTTCTCACCAGCAGAAGCCTTGCTAAATGTTAATGAAAAAGTCATCATAGATTTATAAATAAATAAAAAATTATGACAAAAACAATATTTGCTAATGAAAAAAAAAAACAACAACAACCATAAATTGATCATCAATGTGTGAAATCTTAAAGTTTGTAATAATATGCAAATTAAACTGATCACTGTGAACGGAGGCGATCTGATTGCATTTTTGCAGTAAAGATAGAACATTAAAAGACCCGTTAGAGTTTGGAGTGTTAGGGCCACTGTCTTTAGACAGTATTTTTTAAGGAGTATTTACTTGACTGTATTAAAGGCACAAACTTTTGGAATATTTATTCTCCAATATGCCAGGTAAACTAGCTTGGAACTAAGGCTCTTAGTTAGTCAATAGAAAAATTGTCTTTAAGTTTTTGCTTTATGAGGTTTGTCTTTAGAACTGCAGGGTTTTATAATGCGCTGACAGCTATCATTATATTTGATTTTACAAAATGATGAGTATAATATTTTCAATTTCTCATGCAAATTAAAGTCTTTCTTCTTCTATGTTGTTGTTAAT